ACTTAGCTTTTTCAAGTGGATAAAGGTATCGATATTGATATGTTCGATAATATTATCTTGCAAATATCTGCGATACCACCATAAATAAAATTTATCCATTAGAGTAAGGCTAGATATTGCACCATACACTTTTTCATATTCATAGTGTCTTACAAATATTTTAATCCAGATATAGAAGTGGGGAATAGGTTTGTCAGATTTTCAATTTGACAACCTACTAATTTTCTAAATAGAAATGAAAACCAAAATATTGCTATGATTTTAATTCTTGATTATTGAAATTGTAGCAAATGATATTCAAATAAATAAAGCTACAGCTTTGAAACATAAAGGCATTATGATCTAGCCAAGTCAGATCATTAGCAACTAGTTTATTGAAACTATTTCAAAGTAGTAAGCATAACTCACAGAGTATTCAACTTTTCAAGGCCACTGAAAATACCTGTTGGAAGTTGCATCAGATGGTTACTAGATAAATTGCTGGAAATGAATAAGACATTTATTAAAACGCAACTCTTAAATTTATTCCATAAATTAACTATTGTATCATCATAAAATATGTAGCTATACTGTAGTGTTTATAGGGTTGTGTGATAAAATGTAACTTATTTGAAATCAATATTCCATTTGAGAAATACTTACAGGTGTGTTAGCTTATGAAGATTACTAAACAAATTTGCCTCAACTTCATTAATTTTATTTCGACATAAATCTCTATTTTATTCAAATATAAAAAGATGGATAAGCCAATATTGCATAAGATTAGTTGAACTAGTATAAGAAGCATTGACTCTTAGAGACGTTATTGGCATTTTATAATATCTTGTTGGATCTTAACATAAAACTCACAAGATTTCCAAATGCTTTAGCTTCATAATATTTTTTCTAGAAAGCTTTTCGATACGATTATGATTTAAATAGCTAGTAGATACGAGCGTAAGAAATTAAATGCAAGTTATCAAATTATTGCGGAGAAATCAATAGCTTAATTATTGTTAAAAAAATTTTTTATAAAATACATTAGTCCTAATTTAATAAAGGAGATTTTAAAAGATTGCTATACTGTTACAAATCTCCTTTGTAACAAGAAACTGGATCTTAAACACTAAATTCACTAGTACTCGTGCTCCCAACTAACTTAGGGACCTATCGTAGTTGAACTAACTCTCAGCTACACAAATAAGCTACTAATGAGTAACAGGTTTAAATACTTCACTTTATTTACCTTAGTCGTAAAATTTACTAAAGAAAAACGTAAGAATATTCTTAGCAATAATAGTCAAAAGATCCTGCAAATGACTAACTGGAACTGAGAAGCTAAGCTAATGCTCGGCTTTTTTTATAGTCTCGGCCAACGCCGATAGTACACTAGCGAATATTCTTAATATAGCAACTTACACTGTTGTGACAGTGCTATATAATGTATTAGAGTAGAAATATCTATGTTAGGATAATTCTGTTAGACTAACCTTATTTAGTTAACTTCTAATTTGGATATACAGTGTTTTAATATAGCACTGACTTTTTATGACTGTGACAATTATACACATACTGAAATTAATAGTTATAATAGGGAATGCAAATCATCTGCTTACAGTTCGAATCATTGTGTTTGTGATTTACTTATGGTAGACTGTAAATTATCATGGAAATGTTCCGTGATAGGACATATCGTAATCTGACTATTCTGTATTAGTCATTACATGTCTATGTTCGTAAATACTGTTGTCCGCATTAAGGGAGCAGTAGCTAAAATTAATATCTAGTTCAGTAAATGATTCTAATGTTAATTGTATTAACTATGACTCATGAACTATTGAGGAATAGTATACAAATGCAGTATATCGTGTAATAAAGTGGATTCTCAAACTTAGTGTTTAACGTAAAATACGAGGCGTTTAAGTCTTTGTGTAGTCTGCTAGTAGAACAAAAGTGTTTGTGATAGTGCAGATATCGTTCCTTGATACGTGGTTCAAGGAATTGACTTATGATCGTACAATACGTTATCTTGTTGCAAAGCTGTTTTGTGATAACTTACAGTGTGCATATCCTAATATAGCAACTAGAGCCTCAAGGCTCTGCAAAGTAATTGATCTTATACTTAAGGTGTTATTAATTAACGCTTACTAACTAAGCGTGTTAGCTCCGACACGTCAACAATATTTAACTTTCTGATACCGTGGCAATAACAAGTGCTTATTAATAAATATTAATATCTAATAAGCTACTGGAGCAAACAATAATTTAAATGAGATATTTTAATTAACATAGCAATTAATATTTCGGAGCATGGCTCCGTAACATATACGTGGTTAGTAAGCATATTTTGATTAGAATGATTAATGCTACGGGTAAACTCAGAGTGTCATGGAAGATCTAGACTACATAGCTTTTAAATTTATGACTACTACTTACAGTTTCTTCAGATGTTTTGTTGATCTTAAGAAATCAATGTGAATTAGATTGTTGTGACTTAGATGCCTGAAAAATATTTAAAAGCCAAAGAAACCTCACGTAGACGTTATATTTTGCTAATAAATGTCTTATTGCGAATAGGTTCTGGTATTTAACCAGTAGATTGCATTTCTATTGTATGCAATTTAATTTGTATTTAGATACTAACAAATTAGTCAAACCAAGATGTTTAAAAGCTCCTTTAGCAATACGCTGCATCCAATTGTGGTCTAAAAATCTAGAATAAATCAATTAAAAAGATAATAAGTTTGCTGTCTAATTTATGTCAAATAAATAATGCTAATCTTAGCGAAGTAAATCATTTAGATCATCAATACCATTACCTTACTTTTATGAGTATTTCAATAGATGATAGCATATATTTAGTTTTAATTTATTCACTGTATCGTATTAAGGCAGTTAATATCAGTAATAGCTGCTTAAGTGGGCTACAATATATATCAAATATTGAGCTGATTTTAATGCCATAACTTTAATTTTATTACCCTTAGCGTATTATATATAACTTTAGAGTGATCATTCTGTACTCATCTTAGTATTGCTAATTTAAGGCCCTTTTTTCGAAGGTATCGTAGATCTGTACTTAAAATTCACATAGTAAGGCTGAGTGAAAACTTGTCCAATATTTATCGATAAAAATACTGTGATATTGTTACGGAACTACGTTTCCAATATTAAGATTGTGTTACAGTAGTTCTTTTATACTGATCATGTAGCATATTATTTACAGTTTCAGCAACTTATTGTAAGTACATATACCGTATATTAGCTTTATAAAAGAGTGTACACTGTACGCTAAATCAAAAAAGATTTGTTTTGTAAGTGTTACAGTGTTATTTACTGTATTACAGCAGAAATAACTATGTTAGGATAATTCTGTTAGACTATCCTTATTTAGCTAACTTCTAATTTGGATATACTGTATTTTAATATAGCACTGACTTTTTATGACAGTGACACTTATACACATACTGAAATTAATAGTTATAATAGGGAATGCAAATCATCTGCTTACAGTTCCAATCATTGTGATTGTAATTTACTTATGGTAGACTGTAAATTATCATGGAAATGTTCCGTGATAGGACATATCGTAATCTGACTATTCTGTATTAGTCACTGCATGTCTATGTTCGTAAATACTGTTGTCTGCATTAAGGGAGCAGTAGCTAAAATTAATATCTAGTTCAGTAAATGATTCTAATGTTAATTGTATTAACTATGACTCATGAACTATTGAGGAATAGTATATAAATGCAGTATATCGTGAAATAAAGAAGAATTGTCCAACTTAGTTTTTAACGTAAAATACGAGGCGTTTAAGTCTTTGTGTAGTCTGCTAGTAGAACAAAAGTGTTTGTGATAGTGCAGATATCGTTCCTTGATACGTGGTTCAAGGAATTGACTTATTGATCGTATATTGCGTTATCTTGTTGCAAAGCTGTTTTGTGACAGTAAGTTACAGTAGTAAGTTGGTGCGGTGCCATTCGTGTATTCTATTGATCGGTTATAACCGTCTGTCGGACAATGCCGGGTTACCGTTATATCCATAATTTAAGATACTTTATGTATGTCGATTGAATCATAAAGTGGATGTACTAGGAATTCTGTCAATAATATTAAATGGCAGTAGATTAGATACGTGTTAGGCAGAAATTCTTGCCTAGCTCTTACTAAGAGCTGTATTTTAACTTATCATAATTTCTTATAGTACTTAAGTTAATAATACGGTTTGACTAAGTTACAATCTGTCATGCTTCTAATGCTACGTCTACGTTAAACTTTTTTGATTAAATGCCTGTTGTTCACTTGTTTTATGCTATCTTATTTTAAGTCTAAGTATAAAATCTAGTTATAGTTGGCTGCTATTGCTTTTCTCTTTGTTTTAGATTGCTGGAAAGTACTGATAAAATAAAGTCGTAACCTAAAGTAAGTTGTACACCTAGCTACTATTCTTTTAAGTCTATCTAGGAGGGCAGTTCTAGATAGTTAATGCCACTTAGATAGTTGTGTCAGATCTTAACAAGAAATTTTAGTTGTTGTTAATTACAATACAAAAAAATGAGCGATTATTCATGACATTTCCGTACTAAATACGTCCACACATGGATATGCTAATTACCGTCTATAAAGCTTTATGATCGGCGTGAGCTCGTAATGTCATCTTAAGTCAATCTAAAACTCTATTTATTTTCAGATCTATTGTTTTAGTTGCTAATCATAGAGTTTTAGTGATTCTGGTTCACTAATATTTCTGGTACTGTACTTAAATTTTATGAAAGGGAAAAGATTCTAAAATTCTTGTTGGTCTCTGTGACGATATCATAGTTGTGACGAGAAAAATAGGATATTTCGTGTTAAGATATTGTGATAATTGATATTTAGCATTAAAGTTTAGTGATAATGAATACTTTGTGTAAATATATTGTGATAATTGACATTGTAGATATGTCAATATAATTTATTTGTGAATTTTAGAAAGTACATAAGCATATTGTAAATAGGCAAAGAGAGAGAAAAATAAGTTAATTCTTTTCTACGTATGTCCTATACTGTGTTCTTGTAGACTTTGCTTCGGTATACGAATAGGGAATATCTACTAAGCATAGCGAAGTTACTTGAGTAGAAGTGCCTAATGTATGATAACTGATAGTGTATATATATATATAGTAATTATACAATATTCGTAGTGGAGCTAGGAAAGTTTACGTAGTAAAAGAAGATTTCTTGAGTTGCAAATGAGGTTGTGGCAATCGTATACTATGGCTCAGAGTAATACAAACTTGAGACAGATACAACCATTTTTCTCAAGACAGCAATTAGTATTTTCATTATGGAATTCTGATTTCATAGTTTAATTATTTATATGGTAAGGTAGGATATAATACAGTTATATCCTAAATCGGATTGCAGTTCGATTAACTTTTAACCTACATAGTGGTCAATCTTGACAAAGTTCCCAAATGATGAAAGTAAGAATCCGATATGATTTTAATCTGGTTTTGGCTTAAAACTCTATCAAACAAAAATGATACAATACATGAAGCGGGCTGCAATATTTTCCAGAGCGCAGAAAATAGAGAAACATAACAGAATATAATGGTTTTAGTAGGATATGGTATATGCCTATATTGAAGGAGTCACAGTATGCTTACATTGTTTCTAAACCAGTTAAATTTGCCAAATTCAAAACTGAGTTTGAATCTAATCGATTCGCAGATATATCCCTTACAAATTTGATAATAATAAAAATTAAGTTTGATTATCCTAGTTATTGAGCTGTTGTACTAAGTATTCCAACAAATAACTACTTTAACTTAAAATGATAAATAACATTTATTAATTGCTTAGGCAAATTTAAAATTTATCAATTCTAGATAGCTGTTGTAAATTACTTACAGTTTATTTAACGACGGCATAAAGACAAAGTTACGGACATGAGTTATGTAATTCCAACTTAAATCCCTAGTTTTAAAAGAAGATATATATTTTGATATTATTATTGCTGAATCTATAAGTTTTTTAGTAACTAAATAGCCCATCTCTAAATTATTTGGATATGATAATATCATTAATGCCAAAGAGTCCGATTAAAGCATTCAAATTTTTATTTATTTTAAGATTTATATACTAAAAATCTTATCTAAGAGCTCAGATTCATAACTTTACACTGACAAAACCATTTAAAATAACAAAAACTTTTTATCTCATTTCGGCAAAGAGTTGGACAAAAATAGCAATTATGTCTTGTAAGCAATAATACTTACAAGAAAGCAGTTTTAATATTTGGAAATTGTTTGAAGTTAATTTCAGTAAATTTATTATTACTTAATGTCCTATTTTAGAGTTGAATAGACTTCTGATTAGTAATTTTAGTAAGCAATCATTATGAGATAAAGGTTACATCTACAAATTGATTGGTATCTAGTAAATAAAATATTATCGAAATTGCTTATTTATGATAAACTTAGTCTGAGTACTGTTTATGAAATCGTTCTCTGGAATTATGTTTTGTATTACTGTGACAGTCGTATATAGTGTATTGGAGTAGAAATATCTATGTTAGGATGATTTTGTTAGCCTATCCTTATATAGTTAACTTCTAATTTCGAATCATTGTGAATGTAACTTACTTATTGTAAGTTATTGTAGAAATATCCCGTGATAGGACGTAGCGTAATCTGACTATTCTGTATTAGTCATCAGGTGTCTATGTTCGCAAATACTGCTATCTGCATTAGAGAGCAGTAGCTAAAATTAATGTCTAATTCAGTAAATGATTTCAAAGCTAATCGTACTAACTATGATTCCTGAAGTATAGAGGAAGAGCAAATAAACGCAATATATCGTGCAATAAACTTAATTCTTAAAATAAGTGTTTAACGTAAAATACGAGGCGTCTAAGTCTTTGTATAGTCCGCTAAAAGAGCAAAAAAGTTCCTAGTAGTACAGATATCTTTCCTTGATACGTTGTTCAAGGAATTGACTTATTGATCGTACATTACGTTATTTTATTACAAAGCTGTTTTGTGACGATAACATCCTACACTTTTCTTTTCTTGCTATATATTACTTTCGAACACGAAACTGATATAGTCTGCTGAATTATCAAAGCTATATTACAAATGCTATCCAAAATTTGAAATTATTCAGCCAATGTCCACTTAATTAGCAATTATTTTCCCTAGCATACCTTTTGATCATTAAGCTCAACTGCTATGAATAGATTATCAGATTTTATGATTCATTTGCTCTGTTATAATCGCTCTCTTACATACTACTTAAAGGAGATTGTTCAACCGCAATATCTCGGAAATATAGATTGTACTATTTACTTACAAATTCTTTCCATCAAATTGAATGGAGTAAAGTTCATCCATTTCTAAGAGATTGCCATTCAGTAATCTATAAGGAAATAATAATTGAGAAATGCAGTCTGCGATTTGATGCGGAGTAGTCTTTGTAGATATCCCACAACTTACAAAATTTCCAACGATGCTAAATGATTAAAGGCAGCTGGTGCAATGTGATGGATGCTATTTGTTTCTAAGGATCTAAATTAAAAGCATGAGATTTAGATTATAATAATTTATCTATAGAAAATATCCTGACTAGGTAGTCAAATTCCTGGCCGGATGTTCTAATTTAAGATGCAATTATTGCCTTCCGTACAAAGTGATTATATGTTATTCCACGAATGTGCTAATTTAAATGTAGGAATATCTCGAGCGTTAGAAACTCGAATACAAATAGATTTATCATGTTATTTGTCCATGTGTTAATCTTAAGAAATTTTTGGACCTCCAAACGTGATTATAACCATCTTAAAATAAAATATAAAGTAGAAAGTATGAAATCTAACAGTATTCGTTATATTCTACCCAGGCAAGCGATTTTTAGTAAGCACCGCGACGAGCTAGTTTACTTACAATTCCTTCAAATTTTCTAAACCAAGCAGAGAATCATTTTGGATAGAAGACAATTCGTTAACGCAAAGATTCCTGTAATTTAAATTAACGCATTCATTGAATACCATCGACTACTGTTATGATATAAGGCAAGTTTTAATATATGTTAAATAATTTAGTTAAGTGAACTAAATTTGACGGAAATCCTGATTGCAACAATTGGAATGAATTGGCTCCTTATGAAGACTAGTTTTAAGTTTTTTTTCATTCTTTCGCAATAACTTGAAAATCAATGTAAAAGTATATTGCTTTATATTTAGGACAAAGGATGTTGTTGAGTTGTTACAGCATAGAAATACTCGTTGCTAAGCCTTAAAATAGGTGTTAAATTTTCTTAGGGCTATAACAGATGTAAATTTGCTGCTGTAAGGCACAAGAATCTAGTAAAGTAATTATTATACAAGCAGTTCTGCTACAGCGGTAGTTACAGTTAGATAATTTTATTTAGAGCGATATCATAACTATGCTATGCTAAAATTGATCATCACAATGATTCTTTCTGTTATTCTTACAGTTTAATAAGATCTTTCATATTTCGAAGTGAATTAGGTAGTGGTCTACTCAAGCTACAACCACCACCATTTCTAGAGTCGTGTTAATAATACAGACACATATATTGAAACCATTAAAGAACTAGGACATGATGTTAGTAATGATAATACTTAATCTACTTATGATCAAAAATAAAAGTTCATTCTTGGTTAGCCTTAGAAATATATATTTCATAACCTTAATATCTGCAAAAATTTGTATGCCATAAAAACACTTAAAGATCCTTACAATATTTGTAGATTTGCTGCATTTAGGAGAATATCGCCGGGAGCTGTTGAAAAATTGGTATTGGTCAAATCTCTGTGATATAGTAATAGAAAGATATTTAAGATTGAATTACTTTAATTTGTAGTTCTATCAATAAAATAAAAAATCAAACAAAGTCATACAGATTCTCTAAGCTTTGCAGTGATTCGAAAAGACCATGAGGAACCTTATTAATGTTGTTATCGGAGAAATCCCTGGAAAATTAGCATTATTAATTAGCATTTAATAAATATTATTAGAAATGAGATACACTTTCGTTAAAAATTGCTCAATTTTTAATTTGATATTAAATAACGAAATACTATTACAATTTTCTTAGCTTTGACAATCCTGCAAATGTCCGAGGATTAAGTGTTTTAACTCGGGCGTTGCGTAAAATCCTAAAATAAAGTCATTAGGACAAATTAGGGCTTCATACATATTTCTCAACTATAATTTTGCCTCGCGCACAAGATTCTATCGATAGTTAAACAGCTATTAAATTCGGAAATCATACAGATCGTTCAGTTCAGATAAATCGGAAAAAGTGTCATTGAGAAGTGTTTCAATGTCGTTAAAAGACAAATCCCTAAGGAAAGAATTTTGAACTGAATTTACTTAATTATTTGCTCTTGATCAATTTTTAGATGTAACAATATGAATTCGATTGCTATTTCAATAATATTAATGGTCAAAATAATGAACTTGCTAATAAGCTTATCCCATTTCATACAGTTACTTATTAGCACTACTTAAATAATCATATGCGATAGCGAAATTTTTAGGTCTAAAAAATAAGATTTAATCTTATTAACAGCAACGACCTAGTAATTGGTTCATTGATTTTAGTCTATAAATCTATAACTTTATCTTTAATACAGAATAGCTGTATTAGATATGCGTTCTTGACTTACAGCGTTGATAGTTGTGTTAAATTTTTGAAAGCTCTTGCTTCAATATCACGAATCATATTACGGGATAAATCTCTGACGATGAAAGCATTATAATTGAAATTAATATCTTGTTAATTATTTGATGAATAAATCAAACAATATTTGAGTTGCGAAATTAGATTGCAAAAGTAATTCTTTTAAACTTATCCAGGCAAACGTACAGCACTGATAGTGTAGTCATGTGTGAAAAGATACCATCCAGGATGTTAACTAAATAATTTTCTCGTATAATTCTGTTATAAATTAGATTTCTAGAAATCTTTTTCATAAAATTATCCACCATTATCCTTAGTTGGAAATCTTTACACTTACATTGTCTGTATTGACCATAATCCTTTAAAAGCGTCTTTTTCAATGATTTTAAGTTTGTTTGACGACATATCCCTAACAAAACAGATGCGATATTATTAGGCTTAGGATTAGGTTAACAAAAATTGCAAATGCAGGAAAAAAGTAGATATTTCAAAATGTTCATAGTCATAAAATTGCAAATTCAAAATATTGGTATGGGTCACAGTATCATGACATTGCATTTCACGTTGGTAACTTACTTATGGTAGATTATTACAGGAATATCACGTAATAGGACATATTATAATATGGCTATTTTGTATTGGTCATTAGATATCTTTGTCAATACTATTATCCTCATTAGTAAGTAACAGGTAAAATTAGCCTCTAATTTGTTGGAACGCTTCAAATGTAATAGTCTAAGTGGGACTAGTAAATTATTATAGAAAAGCATATAAATGCAGTGTACCGGATTATAAAGAAAATTCTTAAAATTATTTATAAATTGACTTGTCTTATTGCAAAGTTGTCTTGTAATATTATGATAATGAAAAACTACTTAATCAAATATTAAGATGATTTTATATGATTCTAAATACTTTATCAATTTTATTCGAAAAATACGATGATCTAAGATTCGATAACAAGTATAAAATAAAGGAAAGTAATCTTGGCTGGTTGACAGAAGCGATATTATACAAATTAACTTATATTCCGCTATAGAGTATTTTAAATTATTTTTTGGATAAAAATGCAGTCTTCACCTATCAGTATTTCCTTTGTTTTATATCATACTTGGTTTGGTGATTTCGTAATAGTTTAAGGATTATTATCTCTAAACACTTATAGCTCAACTCTGTATATTCATTTGTATTGATGCAAGCCGGCATATTTTAGACAGATTTCCATAATCTTAAACGCTAGAAGTGCTGCGGGAATACTACGTTGATTATATAGAAAGAAGTGACAAAGAAACTATTTTGTTGCGACTCGGATAGAAATTCCGAGTTACAACAAGCCTACTATGAGCAGAAACTGACATTATGAAGCTAGACTAGGCTAATACATCGCGTCTGCTAGTCTAAAGTGCATGATTGCTAGCTATATCGTCGATTATATATTAATTTCAAACTTAGCTATTTATCTAGTAATTTGTTATCAAATTTTGATGACATTGCTATATATTATTTTCCATTGATTAATAAATGATCATAATCTAGCATAAAATGAGCAGTAATGATAACATGGATTGCGACGCAATGAAATGAATTTAGCTTACAAATATTCCAGTTGATGTAAATTTTTGAATAACGAAGAGCTGATTTTGGGGATCCAGTTTACTGCCAATAAACTAAAACATGATAATATGAAGTTGAAATTTATCGGATGTATTTATGTGCGGAAGTAAATATACAAGATTTATATGAACGAGAAAGATATTTAAAGAATATAAATCTGTTGTGAGGTTGATAGATCAAGAATCTTCAAAAACTTTAGTAAATTAAGATTTATTGAACAAAACCTCCTTTACGAAGATACAACGTAATCAAATAGCTGAGGACCTCTAACGAGAAAGAATTAACTTACTATACTAAACTATTCGCTTATATACCTTTCCGCGTTTACAGTCTTAGCACCTTACTTACTACACACTTCAGTATTAGCATCTCAAATACAGGCTAGTTTACACCTTTCATGTGAAGCTCTAGTGTGAGCACTGTAGCGCTCCTCTTCAAAAGGATTACAGCTACTAAGCTAGCTATATTTAATACTTAAGCTTCTAACGAGTATATCTATCACATGTTGAACACAACACCTACGGTAGACATTACTAAATATATCATCAACTTAGAATACAATATTACACAGTCTTACATCTGTATTCAACATTTTTCATCGAAATGACAATTTTCGGGGTTACTTACAGTCTCTTGAGCTGTTTGTTAATTAAGAATGTACGATCAGAGAGATTTTTGAGCCTGTTTAAAGATAAATCACTAACCAAGCAATAACATTAGTAAAATTAATTGAGTAGCTGTAAGATATTCTTATAAGCTATAATCCTCATTCTAAGCTTAATATTATTAGAATTTCTGTACATTAAATTTAATATTGGACAGCGATGACATTATTAAGTAACTTATATTAGCTATATTTCAATCATATGCACAGCACTTACATAAATGATACGTTATATAATGAAGAGAATGCATCTGGTTGTATGGTTTTAATCCGATTTTTAGCCACGTATCTATAGTAATACCGTAAGTAAGTATACTCAATATTATTGCCTTAAGGCCGCTCATCATATTACAAGTAAGCACTTCTATTGCTAAAGTTTTAAATAGAAAATTCTACTTTGATCGATGCATTCGTTACTAATTAGAGAGGCTCTTACAATGACTCCAAATTTTTCAATCCATCGAAGGCGTAGTTGCTTAATTCAGTTAGTTCATTCATTTTTAAGTTACTGAGAAAAAATATTAAAGCATTGACGATATTCAGGTTCAGAATGTAAAAATATAATATTGCTTTCTTCTTCTATTATGTCACTGATAATGGAATAATTTAAATTCCTTGACTAATTTAAGTGTGTATATTTTATGTTTGATGAGTAACTTACAGAGTTTGTAAACTTTTCATTCGGTGGAATGATTTATTGCTGATCACCTGTATTTCGTTGTAAGACAAAGACCTTATGATATGAAATATCATAGTTAATAAAATTGGCTATCGAATTGATTTAATACCATTATTTCCTGAATTGCTATTGAAATATTTAATTGAATTCGTGCCAATTAGATAGTTCAATAAAAGTTATAAAATTAACTAATTCTAACTTTATTTATTGAAATTTGATTTTATATTTTATGTGCTTTTAAATGGATAAAAATTAAACCGAATAGATGTCTTACAAATAAGTCAAATTTTTAAGACCCTCAAATGTAGTGTAATTGATTTTTTCAATAAGATTACCAGAGATATCCCTAAATATTCAATAAAAATTGCGAAATTATCGTAACGTCTAATTTTTTAATGTTTAAATTAGCCAAAGATAGCCTTTTTAAAGTAAAAATATATAGTATCAATAGTAATAACTACCGTCAAGAGTAAATAACTAAATTTAGTGGTTAACATATATATGGAGATAACTAATAATAAGTTACTGTAAGAACTACGGTAACTACTATTTTGTTACAGTAAATTATGCTGTTCTTTAGTAAGAGTTCTCATATGGTAACTAATGTTAACTGATTATAGTGTTATGTCTTGTAACGCTAGTGATGAATATCCAGAAGATATTCAAATTAAAGACGATACTATAAATAATTCTGTGTATGGACATAAAGTAATCTAATTATCTAGAATCCTTCAGCACATGTCTAAGATTATGAATAATTTCTGTATTAATTTAGCTATCCTATATGAACTAAATTTCATGAACTGTAATGACTCATACATGATAGCAGCTGCCGAAGGATATTTAAGCTCGGTAGATGGTTAAATAGAAGAAGAGTTCCATAGCTACTTAGAAGAAAAAGCGTCTAAATTCTTGTGAGGTACTTAAGGGATACTGAATCCCAAAGACTATAGTAATTTAAAGATTTGTTTTACGTTATCGTTGTCGCGAAGCTGATTTGTGACAATAATATAGCAGTTGCAAAATAATTATAGTAATTACGTAGACAAAAAGTCGAGATTTATAACTTACAGAAATTGCAGATTTCGAATGTTCAAGAAAGTCTTGGAAGAAATTTCACGCAAACTTATATCTTTACTCACGCTGTAGAAATTGATTGCGTTTCGACATTATTAGTCTCACATAGATCAGTAATCACGACTTAGTATTTCAAGAAGGCTTACAGAGTATTCAAATGATGTGGCTTTGTAAATATTTCTTTCAATTGAATTCCAGGATTGTAAGATATATCCCTAAAGATTATAAGTTGTTTAATGATTGCGGTATCGATGAAATCATGGGAGCTAATTATCGGACTCAAAGACTTCTCATGGTATTATATCAATAACAATTGTTCTACCTACAGATATTGTAAGTTTTCTATATTATCGAAAGCCTCGCCCCAGCTCAGTAAATGATTATATTTCACATACCTGTAGATATGATTACATTTAAAGCTTGATTACGAGAGAAAATTAAACTATTCATATCCTCATTATCATACAATATATCTGAAATAAGTATCAAAATATTGTGTAGAAAATAGAAGAAATCGATATTTTAAGCTCACAAGTGCCTCAATTTTTTCATATTGGAAAACGCCGTTGATGCAATATGTTCCGTATTAGTTTTTCCAATGTCACTGTATGCACCGTCGAAATCGTTTAGAAACAGTTTAGCAAGATAAAACATGGCTGATGATGAGTATATGAAGATGCATATAACTGGAATATGATCCTATCCATATAAGAGTATTTTATATTCCTATTGGAACAATGCCGACCTTTACGAAATTTACGTAGGGAGGGTTTTATAAAGATTACTTACAGAGAGACAAGATTTGTAAATTTGAGAAATTTATCTTCAGTCACATTGTAGAAGTTTGCCTGACTCAAGACCCTAAATTCAATAAATAAAAATAATAAGGTAGATAATATCATTAAAGACCATTAGTTTATCATGAAGAGATCATCCTTCATTATCAAAAAATGACAAAGATTTATAACTAACAAATTTGTAATTTTCGAATATTCAAGTCTAGAAGACATGACTTCAGACCAATTTTTACCAACGCAAGTAAGGTTTAACTCTTGTTCGTAATAGTAGAGATCCATTTTTGAACTACAACTACAACTAGTTGGACACCAGCTTGGATTTTCCCAAGTTTGTGGTTGCTTAAAATGTGAATGAAATGAAGTTTTGACACCTAATATAGTTTGTCTCCAGTTCTGTCCTCCTAATTTTGAGCATACGACAAGAAATTTTCAGCTTATTTTTATTACACAATAAATATTATGATTGTTACATCCTATCTAAATTCATATTTTTGCAGGTGTGATATATACCAATCAAGAAATTCCAAATTTTAGAAAAATAAGGGCTTTATTGAATTTTATACAAAGATTAACTACACACGGCTCTACTTTAGCCGAATACTACTACTAAAGACTCCTAGAATGAACTAACAGAATAATCTAAAGTTGCATGCTTTTATACTTTCCGTAGCATTCGCAGCTACAATCCGCATGGCAACCTTTTACCTTGTTTTACACATAGTTAAATTATTCTTAGTAAGACTATTCTACTGCGGACCATCATTGATCCAATATGGATACGACTACAGTACTTACGTAGACATTATTCACACCAGCCAAAGTACAATGAATTAACCATATCTTAATATATGATTTATAGTTTTATTTTACCTATAGCCTTATTAGTAACTCAACAGCTTACTGTATATAGTCATCTGTACTCTAGCATAGCGTCTCTACCACTACAGTCTATAGGTACAGCTACCAAATATCTCTTAGGATAAATATCTACCGTACATTATACTACACATGGCTAACAGTCTACAATCATAATACTAAGTTACATTACAGCAGGTAAGAAATTTTAAGTCCAGCATCACAAGAGCGTCTTAATCTGACTGCAATTTATCTAAATTAAAGAAGGTCAGATAAATTCTATTTTTTACTTGTCGCTCCTAAATGTACCTTAACAAGTCCCAAATTGTCTGTACGTAAATTAACGATTTTGAACCGATTGCATATACAAATTCACGTCGTATTGAATGATATTAAAACTTATGCTTACGTGAAAAATTAATTTATAGATTTTATGTAGTAGTATATGCGAATAATACTGTGTAGTAACTTATTTAAACTATATGCGATAAGGTGTCCCAAAACATAACTATAGCACTTT